AAAATAGTTGTAATAACTAACCTGATATAAAGTCAATAAAGTATCGCCACAAGTATGGCCTTAGCAAAAAAAAAAAACATTTTATTAGACTAGAAACATCTTTTATACAAACTGCTATACTTGCCTAAAGGTAAAAAATGTTTTTAGTTTTTTACTTAAAGAACACAATTTTAGCACACTCTTATTGCCAAAATATACTACTATATTACTAATTATCTGGTTATAATTCTTATATCTATTATACTATTAACAAATCCAAAGAACTTATAAAATCCAAACTCTGATTGCTTTTATATTATAATAATAAGATTATTATTAAAAAAATATGAAAATTCTTTCTCTTATTTAATTATTCTATTGGACTTCTAATATAGATTTAAATACTTAAAATTCTACCTTTTGTTTTCTGCTAAATGTAAATAATATATAAAATGTTATCTTAATTTTTACAAAATTAATCAAACTTGTATTGTTAAAGTTTTTGCAATTATCTCTATATAATTTATTGGCAAAACTAATTTAAATATCAACTTAATCTTAATATAAATTATTTAGATCTTGTACTTTTTTTCTATTTAGTATTTTTATTACTAATTCAATTGTTTCTAAAATTTTTATTCAAGTAAAGCAATTAATAAACTTATATTTATTTTTTATTACAACTACTTCTATCAATAATTATATTTTTATACTAATGATTCTGTAATTTATATTGGTACTAATTAATGCATAATGGATATTGGTTAATCTAGACTAATAATAATAATTAAATTATCAATTTTTTCTCTATTAAAATATAATTGTAAACCTCATCATACAAAGCTAAACTCTTTTTAATTATTGCTACAATTTTAATAGCTTCTTGTAATTCATAATAATAATATTTTGATTTATTGGAAATTAGCAAAAACTTCATTTCTGCTTATTCATATACAGTTAGAGTATTATTAATTAATTCTTCTGTAATCTTAATATAATAACAGTCAAGGTATTATTAATTAATTCTTTTGTGATCTTGATATAGTGATCAGGAGATTAAGTAGTTAATATTTTTATTAATTTTTAATTAGTAATTTCTAAATTTAATAATCTTCAACTTAACTTAACTTACTTTTACAAGCTATTTAAATTTAACTTATAACCTATTTAGTACATTTTTTTAAATATTATTTAATTATACAAACTACAAATTATTTTTTACAAAGTGCAAACTTATTTAAATAATTATTTTAATAAGCAAGCAGATTCCTTAATCAGATAATATACCAGTATGATCACATGAAATGTAGAGGAATAGTTGTGTTCAACTTTTTGGTATGCTATATTTTTTCCTGATTTGGAAGGTATTATGGTTATCAATTTTTTCTTTTTTAGTAGGTGCTGTGAAAATATTATAGGTTATGTACACATGTATATGTGTGAGAATGACGATGTAGAAAAATTACATGTATAGTACGTATATGTATATGAAAAGTGATTATTTAATGCTAATAAGACTACATTAAACTATAGCTTTTTTTTACAAAGAAAAAGGATGACATTATAAATTTGTCATTGTGTGAAAAAATTGTGTTGTACTTATTTGAGGCATAATTTGTATTCGTGTTGATTTTATTGAGAGAAATGAAGTCTTTTTGTAATAATGTTATACTTTCACATTTGATGTATTGATTTTCTAACATTTGAGATGTATCAGAAACTTCACGCATATCTAAAAGCATTGATAAAGAAAAGGTTGATAAATGTATGTATCATTCCATGTTTGATTGCTAAAAATCTGTTTGGAATATGTAGCACATGTGTATCTTAAATTGAAAAAAAAGGTAGTTGAACATCAAAAATAAATAATAAATAAATAAGAAATAAATAAATTGACAAATAGAATAAATATGCTTATCATTGGATTACATTCGTCTTGTGGTCATGTGAAATATTGAAATAATCAGAAAAAATAATCGATGATAATAGCATGAAAGTATGTAATAATTAGTAAGTATGATAATTTTAATAGCTGAGTGATAATAAAATGATATAATAATTTATAATCAGTAGAAATATATTATATCATTGATTAATGCCATATTGGTTTCTTGAAGTTATAGAAGTATAATAATGGTTAGTAAGTAAAGTATCATATAATGATTGGATGAGTAAATGATGATAAAATGATATAATTAATTTATAATTGAGTAGTATATATTATGTATTTAATTAATTTATAACATAAATTTGAAGGAATAGAGAAAATAATTACCTTTTCATTTTTAATCCAAGTAAATGATAGTAATAGTTAATAAACATTTACTATTGTATAAGAATAACATTATCTAAATTCATTTATCTTAACATATATTTGTGAATGTTAAAAGCTGCATAGTATACGTCAAAAATATTTAATTGACTGATAACATATAAATATGAATTTCTGAGCCAATATTCTATCTGTCTGCTAGTAGACTTATTTTAAAACTGTGTTAAGGGTTGACTTTAGAAAATTAAAAACTAAACATCAAATAGCTAATAAGTGTGAAGAGCAACATGTGAAAAAGCAAAAGACACTTATAGAAAAAGACTTACGAGCCAAGAAAGCTAATATTCCACTATGTGTTTTGGAGATGAATAAGGCATTTGAACTAAGAAAAGAACATTACATGAACTGGCCATGGCTAATTAATAAAAATCTTGCAATTGTGCATTAGCAGGATTTTGTGAAAATGCTAAATGTGATTTACTCAGAGAACTGCCTTGTGTAATCTGTTCTGAGATGTTTTCATCAGAATATTGGACTAGAATTTCTGTAAAAGGTATAGATCTATTAGTACTTGAAGTTGACAAGAAATTTGTGACTTTGCTTTTTGATGTGGACTTTAACTATAAATATCCATGGATTGATAAACGTGAATATAAAGTCTTATTAGATAGAGACAGGTTTATTAAGTGAAATATGTTGAGAAGTAAAGATCTGTTTGATCTTTGTGTTTGCCTGAATTGTAAGAGATCATTAGATGCAGGTAAAACTCTGTTGTTGTCCTTAGTTAACACATGGATAGGTACAGTTTTGTTGTGTCTTCAAGAGTTAACAATTTCAGAACAGCTTTTGATCTCTACAGGATATCTTTGTATAAATCTTATTCAGCTTACTAATCAACAACACACATATCATAAACTAAAAGAACATGTAATTACTTTTACTCAAAACCAGTATCACTCACTACTATTTTACCTTTACCTATATATTAGTTGTGTGATAACTTAAAAGTAGTTTTTGTTGGTCAGGATCAACTATCGAAAATACAATTAAAAAAAAGTATTGTGAGTAAGAAAAAATAAAGTTGCTGGGGCTTTAGAATGGTTAATAAAACATAATATATTATACAAAAAGGTTAAAATAGATAAAATAGCATTAAATTCTTTACCAGAAGATGAAGTTCCAGTAGCTTTGATGGTGACTACTGTAATGGTTGATATTGGTTCAAGAGAAATAGAACATTATACTGGATATGTTACTGATTCGATTAATGATAATGATACTTATAATCTGGAAAATAAAGAGTTAGATAATAATAGAGAAGCATTTGAACATGACAAGTATAATTTTACTAATAGTAGTGAAGAGTTAAGAAGTTCAGGTATGGTATGCATGGACAATATTTCTTTTGCAGAAAAGAGTCATACTTTAAAGATGCTTGAAAAAATGATCAATGAATCAAATACTGGTAAAAATAGTTACATGGAGATGATTTTAATACTGCACTTGAATAACCCAATAAATGAATATACAAATCTAACACTTTTATTTGCAGCATTTTATGTCTTATTTCTGTATGGGGTTGGCAGGCATGAGTACATATTTCATAGACAATATATACCATTCAGGCAATATATCAATCACTTGTTGCATTTTCATGACCCAAGATTCAGGCACCATCGATCATTTATGTTTATAGTATTTGATATTCTGCAAGAAGAGAAATTGCAGCGAGGACATATCTGATGACAAAGTGAATGACTTTTGAAAGATTTGCTGAATTGATCTCGCAGCTAATGCCAGATGATATAGAATTAGCACTTGAACAAGAGTATAGCAAACAACCAATAACAAATTATGCTATTCTCGAGTTATTGAAAAATGTCAATGCTGTTGGAGGGAAAATTATAGGTTCATGTCAGTCCTGTAGTTATTTGCACAATGAACTCTGTGCTCTAACTATGTGAGATAGTCTGCCTTTATTGTTTATTGCTATCAATTCAGCTGATCTTCACAGCCCAATTGTGATGCTATATGTGGAAAAGAAGATTGACATTGATTTTTTAGTTTCTGATAATTTTCCAACAGTGACAAAAAGGGCAAGATTGGCCCATCTTGACCTGACTGCAGTAGCAAAGTACTTTAATGTTGTTATGAGAAAATAATTAAATTTATAGTTAGTTATAAAAGACCAAATGGGGGTGTATTCAGTAATATAAAAAATTACTATGCTGTGGTGGAATATCAAAATCATAGCACACCTCACTGCCATATGTTAGTTTGGCTTGAAGAAGCTTTTAACCCGATTGAGCTTTGAGAACATATGAAAGATAATGAGATTTTAAAAACTGATTGATAAATTATATAAATGAAATTGTTAAGAAAGATATTAGCTATCTTTTTCCTGATAGCCAATATTTAACTGATGAAATATTATTATTGGAATATATGACTCCAAAAACAAATTTAAAAAGGAGAATGCATCCATCATTTTTACCTATTTCAGACTCACAGTTACTCGATTTTGAAGAAAAATTTCATTGTAATGTTCTTGCAATCGCCAAGCATACACTATTTCACAAATGCACCTGGTCATGTAAAAAATATAATTATAGTAAAATGTCTAATTGTCATTTTGATTTTCTAAAAGAGTTAGTTGAAGCACCTGGAAAAATTTATCCTGAACTTGGGATTATTGCCCTTTAACAGCTTAATGCTTATATTAATAATCACAACTCATATGTAACTTCTAGCTGTCAAGAGAACAATGATATCAGATTTATTGCAACTACCAAATTGGCTTTGGCATATATTCATTACATCACAGACTATATTACTAAGTGTGATTCGAATATCCACAATTCATTTTTAATGTATATGATAATACTAAATAAATTTCTTATAAATGAGGCATCTGGAAAATTTGTAGAAAGATCATAACAACTTGTTACCTTGTGTCTTAATAAGATTGCAGAGTGAGCAGAATTAACTAGACCTCAGGTAGCAGCATATATTTTGGGTTTAGGTGACTATTATACACCAAATAAATTTTTTTCAATTTATCTTAATATTTTTGAGATATATTTAACTAAGCAATTTCATATTGGGAAAAACTTGCCTGAGTTGGAGACTTCGAATAATTTTGATGATAGTACTGGTGATGATGAGCTAGAGCAAGATTTGAATGAAAATTGCAATATGAATGATAAGGTATTCAGAGTAATAAATTTAGGTGAAAAAATGGCTGCAGTAAATTTACGTGTTGACTATATATATTATGGTAAACAACTAAAAAATATATGTCTCTATGATTATGTTGCAACAATATATAAAATAAAAATTAATGAAAAGGAATTGAATAAATTGGCTAGACAAAAAAACTAAGAAGGGCATGCAACAAGAGTTGACCAGTTCTACTATTTAGGTGGAAACCAAGAAAGTGACAAAATACATGATTATAAAATTGAACATCCACAGTGTTTAACACATATACAAGTTCACTGGTCCAATAGAAATAAGAAAGTACCAGTGTTATGTAGGAAAGGTATTCTACACAGGTATGATCTTGAAAATGCTGAATGGTATGGACTCTGTATACTATTACTTTTTAAACCATTGACCTTTTTAAATGATTTATTGTGAGAGTGTATCTCATGGTATGAAGCATGTAATACTTTTTTGTAAAGTTCAAATATGTCTTTGCAGTTACAATCAATCATAAATAATATTAATCTTTTGCATAGATGTAAAAAAGAGACAATTTTAGACAAGCAATTATGTCAGATGGCTAATAGAAATCTGGAAGCATCAAAACTTTGGCAAATAGAAAGATCAGTAGTAAGATATAATATGTCAACTGATAATATAGAATTACTGAATAGTCAGGAAGATTCAGATATTAAAGATGAATCATCCTTTGATCTATATGCAATAATATGCTCTGGGTTTTATAATTTGAAGTTAGTTGATGAAGCAATGTTACATTTACATCTTAAAGATGGATTTAAAATAAGAAATGAAAAATTACAGAATAGTGAAGATATTTTTAACAAATTTAAACCTACTTGTAAAAATGATAATAACTTAATACAAAAATGGCAGGAAACTATAGCATCATGGAAAAGGACAGAACCAGTAAATGAAAATTGTGATGATAATCATATACAGGAGTTTACATACATATCTAAGCACTTAAATTATGCATCATTACAGTTAAGAAAAATAATAAAGGAAACTGATTTATTACAAGAAATTTCAAGTGATCTTAATGATGAACAAAAGAAACTTTTTTTGCTTGTGTGTGATTACTGATAGCACAATAAATTGGGTAGTCATGATAGACTAACACAACTGTTGATTTATCTAGAAGGTGCTGGAGGTATGGGAAAATCTAAAGTTATTAAAGCAATTTGTAAATATTTTGATCAAATTGAACAAAAAGAATCACTTGCAGTTTGTGCATCACTGGATTTGCTATATCAAGTATTGGTGGTTATACTCTCTATTTGATATGTGGTTTTAAATTTGGTAATGATCACTTTGTATATTAATCTACAAAAGGGAAATCTGCAAAATTACTTCAGGACCAGTGGGCAAGAATAGAGTACTTAATTTTGGATGAAGTTTCTATAATAGGTCAAAAACTTCTAATGCAATTTTACACTTATGTTAAAGAGGCAAAACCTAACTGGAATAATGCTTTACCATTTGCAGAATTAAATATAATTTTTTTAGGAGACTTTATGCAACTTCCACTAGTACTTAACTTGCCATTGTATCGTTCAGTCAAAATCGAGAGAACAGTACTATTAAAGAAAACAAAATTAATACAGAAACAAATTTCAAGTTCTGTAAATACCCAGACAGTGGTAAATACCAGTGGCAAATACCAGTGGCAGGGGATTATGGCTAATAGTAAAGCATGCAATTATCCTAAAAAAACAGATGTGACAAATAAATGATTTAATGTACGTCTCAATATTAGATAACTTACGACATAGACAACTAACAACAGTTTAGTGTAATACTATTTATGATCACATAATAACAGAGTATGAAATGAATTCACCTGAATGAGAAACTGCTGTGTTTTTGGTCCAAAGAAATGATTTACAAATACAAATAAATCTAGAATCAACTATAAAATATGCTAAACACTGTAATTAACCAATATATTATGTATATGTTAGAGATACCTATAGAGATAAACCTCTCTGTAATAGTATAAGATGAAAATTTTTAAGTGTAGCAGATATAAGGTCGAATACACTATGTAAAATATTGCTATTATCAATTGGTATGAAACTAGCTTTGACAGTTAATATTTGTATAAAAGATGGAATGACTAATAGTGCTCAGGGTATTCTTCGTGAAATCGTATATGATGACACAGCTGCAATCATTAAAAGTTTGAGTGTTGATAAAGGAAAAAGTATAATTATTGACAAACCTCCAAAATATATTATAATCGAACTTCTAAACTATGCATCGTGTAAATATGATAATCTGCCATCGAATCATGTTCTGATATATTCTATCAAACAGAAATATAAATATATGCATAAGATAGAAGATGGCTCAAGCATAACAAGAGAATTTTAGAGAACACAGTTACTTGTGACATCTGCTTTCACATTCACAGAATTTAAATGTCAAGGTGTGATATTAGAAAAAGCAATTGTTGATCTAAATGATGATAACATAAAATCAGGTGTTTATGTTATGCTATCTCATATACAAAGATTACAAGATGTAATGATACTTTGGCCATTTAGTCATTCAAAACTTAATACAACTGTAGAACCTGACCTCAGAAAAGAGCTTAGACATCTTGAGAAATGTTTTATAAAAACTAAACAATTAGAAAAATGGCCCTTTATTTAATAATGTATAAAATAATATGTATGATTAAAAAAACAAATATAGCTTTTACTAGTTTTTAATTAGAAACTATCTCTTACACTTTTTCTCTTTTATAACTGCATTATGACATTACTACTCAGATTTAGTATACTATTGTTATATCAACTATTCTTTTGCACATTACTACTATATACATATATACATGCTCCATAAAAATTCTTAGTTATATTCATTGCAAACACAAATATTATACTCATGTTTGTAATAATAACTATCACATAAATTACATACTTGATAATTAACCTCTTTACATCTGATTTATTAAAATAATAATTACAGATATTATGGAATAAATATTTCTCTATAAATAACATTTGAGATTAAATATGAGTTTATATTCTTTTTTTAAAGATGCAGACTTAAGAAGTTTATTATAAAATAAATAGTTTCTCTGTGAATAACATTTGAAATTAAATAAAATTTATATACTTTACTTAAATAGCTCCAACTTAAAAAGTTTATTTATTGTAATTATCACTTTTTACTATTTAAAACTAAATTAAATGTTTATATAAAAATTAATATAAACCTATATGATATTTTATTTATTGTGAAGTAATAAAACAATTAAAATATTACTAATCAAATAAACAAAAAGTAATTTATTTACAATTTAATGAAGTATATATAGTATATAAAATACTATAAAAAATATTTGAAATATAAATATATAGCATATTAAAAGTAGAACCCAAAATAAAAAAAAATCACCTCAATAGATAAATATTAATTGTTGAAAATATAAACCATGAGTTATACTCTCTTACTACTGTTAATGATCTTGGACAATTCAGACCATTGCTTAGTATTGTGAACTACAGGCTGAATAATCTTTTTCTTGCCTTTATTTGAATTTTTATAATTACACTGAACTTTTATTATCTTGAACAATACCACTCTTATATTTATTACTTCTATTCATACTTTCTTTATCACGATCATTTGTACATTCATCAACATACTCAGTGAATCATCTTTCTCATCTTCTACTTTTGTACATTTATCTATATAAAAATCCTTAGTAGTTAAATCAGTTACAAGCTTACTCTTTTCATTATCTAAATCTGAATTTTTCATCCTGGCTGCTTTTGATGAATCTTCGTTAATATTCTGATATATGTTTAAAAGTTTTAAACAAATGGATTTATATAGTGCTGAAGTATTCTCAAAAATATTAACTTTCTTTTTTGTTGTAGAACCAGTATCAACATAAGAAATATCGACAGCATATACATATAAATCCTTTTTAATAATCTCCATTTGCCCTATAACAAAAAGTACTGATTCATGCAATCAAGTGGAATTCATTAAATATTTGAATCGAGAATTATGGTGCAGAAAAATAACTTTGATTGTAAAACTGTAAATTTGTCTAGCATAATCATTTACTAATACATTAAGTATTGCATTTTCATAATTAATCTCTTTAGATGCATCCTGAGCAACACCAACAAGTGAAACTTTTAATAGGCACCTATTTGAACCGAAATCTTTTTTAATTGAAAGATGAATTGAGGATGCAACAGTCATTTAGATTTAAAAAATTTAATAATAGTTCGAAAATTATAACACATACAACTAAATACACAAACTTTTAATCTTAAATTTCCATTGTAAGATTCAAGCATGATTTTTCCACCAACACAATAATACTCATTTGTTTCAAAAATCGATTGTGAATTAGGATCTTTCTCTTCATCATTCATTGGAATAAATAAAGTCATATTCAATTCGCAATCCTTACTCTCAATAGGATAAACACCAACTGCCTGTATGGCAAACAATTTTGAATTCTTGTTGCAAGTTTGATGAATCTGATTCACTTTAATGATAGTATCAGCATAACAAGGCATTATGAACAACTAAATAACAAATTTAACTTATTTTTTGCATATTGAAAAATAACTGCCAATATTTATTTGAATATAACAACAATAAATTACATCATATAAACTTCATATCTGAAGTGACATAAACCAAAATATGTTATTTATAACAATTACCTTTCTATAAGAGAGAGATATATATATATAAAAAAAAAAAACTACTTTACTAATATTTTACAATAATATTTATATGAAAAAAATATCGCAAAAAACTATTCTTAAACAAGATACTGATAATGCATGTTTAAAAATTCATTTAATAAAATATAGTCATTATTATTGCTCAATTGTAGACTTTAATGCTATAATAATGAAAATACATATAGGAAATAGATCAAATATCATACACTTGTAACTGTCCTTAGCTATTTAGAGATAACTTTACATTTTGACTTTAGTCCAAACAACAGGCTAACCAAGCCAGATCTATTCATTAAAACATGCTATCAACAAATCCTAAATACACCTCACATCTTAATCTTGACATTAAAATACTTTGATCACAAACAAGAACAACACTAGGTTAACGATACAAGAGAAAGAAACTTCATGGTTAGATAGCAATTAAATGAAAATCTCTTTGAATTACTGTATGTTTCTTTCCAATCTGGTCCTTACACCGCTCTTGCAACCTCGAAACCAATATATCCAATTATCAGTTCCTAGACCTTACACTAGTAGTTGCACTATTTTAAACTGCTGAGCTTCATAAACAACAGATATGAAAGGTGGGCCAATAAAGTTAGCCTATATCAAGGTAAATAATAACAAACAGAAAATAAACAAACAACTATCCAGTGTACTAATCCTAAATACCCTTAGCCCGGTAACACACTTCCACCCTATGTATGATATTCATATGAATGGACATACATCATAACAACTAATTACAACATACTAATACAACAATTATTTATTTCCTATTAAAGCAATACATTTAAGACAAACAAAATGCCTACAAACTACACTCATTAAGATACATAATGTCATTATGCCAATATTTAAAAAAAGCTGTAATCGATCAACACGTGATCTGCAATACAGTCTACTAATCTCACAATAATAACTGCTTTGTCACTTCATTAACAAGCTTATCAAAACAAACAAATATAACAAAAAAAAAAGTACAAAAAAATATTAAAAAAATACAACCAACAAAAAACCAACATTAAACTCCCATAAAAAAAGCATGAAATAAAAAAAAATAAAACTAAAAATAAAAATACTCACACTAACACCAAACGGCTTTTAAAAAAAATTTACAAAAATATAAGTCATAAAAACAAATTATAATAAAAAACACAACATAAGCATATCATAATTAACTAAGTATAAAAACATAAATACCTTAATTAAATAAATTATACAAAACCAATTAAATCAATAAACCATTAAATCTATTTCAAACAACAAAATTAAATAAAAAGAATATTAAACTATAAACACCTAAAAGAATAAACTAAATAAAAAAAACCTGTCACAGATGATCGGACTGGTTCAGTGCGTCATTGCATATCATGCAGCTACCTAATTTATTATTACTACTTCTTTTATTTAATTATACAAATCTCTATAACTCTTATTATATTTTTTAATAGAAACAATATTATATAAAACTTCTTATTGGATACTTTATTAAGCAAATTTGTAAAGTTTATATATTAGCTATATAAGTATTACAAAAACATAATAATAAATGTTCATGCTTTATTTAAAATATTGATTAAATATTCACTTGGTTTTATTTCAATTATAATTAAAAATTTTTATACAAAATTACTAATTTTAGGCTTAATTAACTAAAATTTTTTAAAATTAAAATTCTTTTCAATAAGTTGCTAATATATTTACTCCTTTTATACTATATATTCAAACCAATATTCAGACACTACTTGTTTTTATTACAACTTATTTAACTCTTATTTCTACTAACAAACTTGTGCTAACCTAATTATATTTAATTAAATTATTCAAAACTCTAGCAATTAAATTATTTTTAATAATCTATTTAATCTTAGTATTCATCAAAATATGACCTAATTAATAAAATTTTTATTATTTTGCTCTTAATATTCTATATAAACTGTTTAATATATTTTATCCTAATCTTATTTTCTAAAATCTTATTCTAAAATTACTTATATATATATATTTTTAATACTGTTGACCTCTATTAATATCAATCTTATTAATATTAACCTAAGCCACAAATCAAATTTTTATAAATTTTTATATATTAAAATTCTCTTATATATATCAACTTT